CAACATCATTCTTAATGGAGAGAGGCTGAAAACATTCCCCTTGAGAACAGGAACAAGACAAGAATGCCCTTTATCACCACTCCTATTTAACATTGTGCTGGAAGTTCTAGCTAGAGCAATAAGGCAAGGAAATGAAATAAAGGGTATCCAAATTGGTAACGAATAAGTTAAACTGTCTCTATTTGCAGATGATGTGATACTGTACATAAAAAACCGTAAACACTACATGAGAAATCTACTGGAACTAATGGAAAGATTCAGCAGAGTAGCAGGATACAAGATAAACATACAAAAATCATTTGGATTCCTATACACCAATAAAGAGAACGATGAAAAGGAAATCAGGAAAACAATACCATTTATAATAGCTTCTAAAAAAATAAAATACTTAGGAATAAATCTAACCAGGGATGTAAAAGACCTATACAAAGAAAACTATAAAACACTACTGCCAGAAACCCAAAGGGATCTACATAAATGGAAAAACATACCATGCTCATGGAAAGGTAGACTCAACATAGTGAAAATGGCAATTCTACCCAAAGCAATACACAAATACAATGCAATCACGATCCAAATACCAACAACATTCTTTAAACAGATGGAAAAACTAATCATTAACTGTATATGGAAAGGAAAGAGGCCTCAGATAAGTAAAGCACTATTGAAGAAGAAGAATGAAGTAGGAGGACTCACACTACCTGACTTCAGAACCTACTATACACGTATGGTAGTCAAAACAGCCTGGTACTGGTACAACGACACATATATTGACCAATGGAACCAAATCGAGAAACTGGATGTAAATCCATCCACCTATGGTCACCTGATCTTTGACAAGGGCCCAAAGTCCATCAAATGGGGAAAAGACAGTCTTTTTAACAAATGGTGCTAGCAAAACTGGATGTCCATCTGCAAAAAAATGAAACAGGACCCATACCTCATTCCATATACAAAAACTAATTCAAAATGGATCAAAGACCTAAATATAAAGCCAGAAACTATAAAGTTCATCGAAGAAAAAAATAGGATCAACGCTAGAGGCCCTAATGCACAGCATTAACAGGATACAAACCATAACCAACAACACACAAACTCCAGAAGATAAGCTAGATAACTGGGATCTTCTAAACATCAAACACCTATGCTCTTCAAAAGACTTCACCAAAAGAGTAAAAAGAGAACCTACAGCTTG